GAGTTTCAAGGTGACAACTTGGTGAAAAAATAAAGACTCCCATGGAGAGGAGAAGTGGGACTAAGAAGTGAAATGAAGCAAAACAGGGGCAAAGCAGCAGTGTTAACAAATTGGAAGGCAACATTCAGTGTCCAACAGATTTGAATACAGAGAGGATTATTCACAACCTTTTCTCAGGTCACCTTTTCTTAGGAAAAGTGTCTAGAAAGGAAGCCAATGAAATCCTTCGGAGCCTGTATGTGCTTCTACAGTTAAAAATAAAATTAACAAAATAGAAGTCAGAACAGTTTAGGATGCACATGAATGTAAACAAACGGACATATTTTGACAGCACAAAGCAGTAGTTAAATAACTGCACTGCCTTCTAAAATGTGGGGATATTACTATTTTTCTTTAAAAGCAGGTGACTATTGGGTTTGAAATTTCATACCACACTTGTTTCTATGACCTACGAACCTTCTATTAAGAAAAGCTAAACAACTGGATAAATTTTAATAAGTGATCTTTGCATTTGGACTCTTAGAAGAAAAATTTCACTGGCAGCCTTACTTCCTACCACTAACCAATCTCTTATAATACAGTATCTACTAATCCTTCAAAACACTTGGTCTAATCACACACAATAGTGGGCAGATTTATCTGAAGCAGATCTAGTGTAGTCTACACTACTTGTTTTAGCAGGATTATTTTTTTTTCTTTACTTCTAACAGATAATATTACAACTACAAATTTCAAACTGCAGCTGCCCTGCTTACCCAAATCTGCATACCAGAGGGCAGGCAAGGGAGATGTGGAGACTCGTGTCCGTGTCATCTGTGTTTGCAACTGCACAAACGAGCAATCTTTAAGAAAAAAGAAATACTTGTGAACATGAAGTGCAGATTCATGACCAGCTAACGTTGGGTAATATAGTCTGACAGCACGGCATCCACCCAAGCTTTCTATCATTAAGAACACATGAGAAAGTAACTCAGAAACTTGGCTGTAGAAATTACATTTCTCTCTTGCCTCCTATCACAGCCTAAAGAAAGGTATGTACCCCTTCTCCTGCAGAGAGAGATGGTATTAAACCACACTTGTTACATATTATCAATCACACGCAATACACTTCCTTCTGACCTGTAGCTCTGATAATCTTTGATCCGTCTCCCCAAGCCTACCACTCTCTCCCAGCCCTGCCATTTAGCACAAGCTGTCACCACAACTAGTGCTAGGAGGAAACGTCTGCTAATGGGCCAGGAACAAAATGGTTAAAGAGAGTTAGGGTTATACAAAGGAACAGCTAAGTAAAACCACACAATGCTACCAAAACAGGTACAAAGGCCTGGTGATTTCAATATGTCCCTTCCTGAAATCATGCTTCCTTACCAAAGCTGAGGGGTGCTTTCAGAGGAGCCTGTATCCCAAATGGGAACATGAGAATGTGTCACATCTGTCTTTCAGTCTCACTGTTACGTCGACACCAAAACTTTAGGGTTTGTACCCAAAAGGTTGTACTTGCAAAGACGAGGGTTGACACTTCCCTTGAATCACTAAGGCCACAGAAACCAACACTGTGAGACATCTTTTTTTTAAACAAACAAACAAACAAACAAATGAACACCACAACAATATAACACAAACAAAACACTGAAGAATCACTCAGCAGGGTTATAGCTACGGTACAGATAATTGCTGCCAGTTAACCTCAAGGCCTGATCCCTCATCAGATTTGATAGCTGCCCTGGCAAGCAGCTTCAGCAGTTACCTTCTCATCTTTGGACCCAATCCCAAAAGCAAAGCAGCTACCTCCAGAATTAGGTAACTCCACCAAAGCAAGCACCTTCTTTACTGGGTTGACCACAGAGGCAACCCAGCCAAGACTGCAAGCTGGCTGGACACAAGCCACCTCCTCGCTGGAGGCCAGGCTGTGTGGCAAAAGCAGTGCCAGGCTCAAGAGCCCAAGAGCAACTTGGAGGCAGCAGGTAACAGCTCTGGCACAGCACCTTGGCTAATGCTTTAGGACCAGAGATGGACACATCTTCCAGCTAACCCACTGGAGAGCACAAGAGGACAGCACTCTGTCAGCCTGTCCAAAGCTTATTTTGAGTGTTCCTCCATTCTGAAACAGTAAAAGGTATAGTGCTGCTTCCTCCTTCTCTTTCCTTCTCACATTGGTGCTTGTCTGGCCATACATTGTACCAGGTCAAAGAGCTAAAACAGTCAAATTAACTCTACAGAAGAAATGCTGACCATTTCCATGCAGTCTAAGTCTTTGGAGCAGCTTAATGCCAGCACAAGAGCAGGCAAAGAGTACAGGGATGAGCAGGTTGGGATTCCCACAGCTCTATCCCAAACTGCAAATCAATGAGAAACTGCACCCACAGATTTCCTATAGTTTCTTGGCACTAATTGGATTGAGCAGCAGGAACAGCAAAAATTTCAGCACCCTGCTAAACAAGGGGATTTGGCAGCACCTCCATCTTGCAGACCCAACACCCAAGAGGGCAGCAAGGGGAACCAACCTGGCAGAACAGACTGTGCACAACAGACTAACCGAGTATTACAGCACTATGAGATGCTCTCATCTCAGCAGGGGTGGCAAGAGGTACTAAATGACTAAGTTCCTATTATTGGCAGTGCATATATTTCCTTGAATAAACTTTGTCAGAACTAAGTCTGCCAAACATCTACAATCACAACAGAGAGCAGCACTGGGCAACTATTTCAACTCACTATTCCCACCACAGTGAAAATAAGGTAGAAGTTCACAGTCCTCTGCACCAGAGATGGCTACCAACCACAGAGACCAACACAATGGATTCTGAAAGGTGAATTAAAAGGAAGTATCTACTACACTTAGATAACCTTACCTTTCATATTGAAATACTATCTTCTGATTTAACAGGAAGCAAGGCTGCCCTGTGATGAGATGGAAGTGTCTCAGAACAGCATCAAATCCAAATAAATGCATTTTGCCTCATTTCAGTATTCAAGAAAAGTTGGAGAAAAGTTATCTGGACATTCATGATGATAGCATGCCCTCTTGCTTGGAGCATGTTTTCAAAGAAAGAACGAAAACATGACGATAAAGAGATAATTGAATAAAACTTAACACAATTTTTAAAAGCTGAACCAGGTCAAAGAACCACCTTTTCTTCAACATGACAAAACAGTCCTTATATAAAGGAGCTGCGACAGTTCTAGCCTCGCTCAGTAAGAAATCTGATATACTACCACCTGAGCAGTAGTTTGTTGAGCTGAGAAGAGAGGGGTTAGTTCAAGAACAGTATGTCAGGAAAAAGCAGCAGATCAAGAGGAGATGACAACAGATTTCTGTCTGAAAGGTAGAAGGGTATTACTTATGGACTTCTGCTAAAACTTGTCTTTAGTCTTTTTTCATTCAAAATTTTAATTTAAAATTTTTTTAATGGGTTTAAGTGAGCACTACCAAAACGTGTAGAAAATAAGAAACTAGCAAGGTACCAGAAGTACAGTGAGAACTGAAACAACAAACAAGAAAAACTGTAACAAATCTTAATGGCAGCCTTCCACAGAAATGGTATGAAAAATAACAACAAAGGACAGAATAATGCACCTAGAGACTAGTGGCTGAAAAGTGACAAATCATTAGTTGGATGTAGCAGAGAAGGACAAAGTTTGTGTACAAACATCCTATAAGCAGCCAATAAGTCACTAAAGAGAACTGGTTCAGAAGAAAGAAAACATAGTAATTCAAAAAAGCAGCTCTATTTCCAGTACAGAAAGGGACATACAGATGCCACTATAGCAAACTACCAAGATCTTGCTGTGAACATCACGCATAAATCTGGTAATACATATTCACAAAAAAAATGTATTTGGGATAGCACAACAAAACATCTCATAAAAAAAGACAAAAGGTCTTAAGTACACAAATGAGAGGAGCTGGCATAAAGAATAAGTGTAAGCTTATCAAAAGTTTAGGCTGGAAATTAAAAGGGTTCCTAGACCACAAAACACTGGCTTAAAGTTTACGTGTGTGAATAGAACAAAAAAAAGTAACTAGTTTGCAAGTGGATCTATACAGGGTCACAGAGACAGACATGGTTTCTGTGACAGCAAGGCACTTGGCTCAGCCAGGGTCGTTTGTTCCAGTTTTGGGTCCCTGAATATTCATCAGAACACACTGATGGGCCTGGAGGGTCGGAGCAGAAGCCTATCCAGCCCAGCATCCTTGCTCCAGTAACAGCCAACAGCAGATCATGAGGAAGGAAAGCACATAGTATTTTGGGGAAATATCACCATTTGTGATTTAGGGACTTCCTGAACTAGATGGATTTAACAGCCCCCTTTTCCACTAATTTGGCAGCCCCGTCTTGCACCCATGTAAGCTTTTTTACAGCTTAATTTCACATTTTACTAACAACTGCTTTATTTTAGCTTGTTCTGAACCTATCTCCCTCTATTTCTTTTCTCTCAGCTAATCACTTTGCTACCACTTTATCCCCTCTATGCCACTCCTGATGCCTTTATGATCCCCTGTCTATGACACATCTATTTTATTATCCCTTTTGTAATCTCTTACCAGGTTGAAAAGTCTAAGACTACTTAGGCTTCCTTGCATGGAAGCTTTTTCATTACTTTTTTTCATATTCATCAGTTGTCCTGTATTTTCACCATTCTACATATATCTTTTGTACAGTATTCAGGAGACAGACACACCATGGATTGCTGCCACTTTTATTTATTTTAATCTAACAATTAATCTAACAATCAACTCCTAATGTCCACCGAAGTACTGCAGTAAATCTTGGCATCTACATCTGGCAAGCCAGCATCAACTTGAATAACAACTTGGGGGGGGATATTAGGAGGTCACAGGAACAAATACAACACACTGATGAAGAGTCAACACAACTTGGAAAAGGAAATCAAGTTCCATAAAGAAAGTGGATTCTCTGAAAGAATCAATAAACATGTAGATAAGGGAGATGCAACTGAACGGCATGCACATATACCTGCACTGAAGTGGCTGGAGACACAGATGAAGCTGAACATTGCCTCTTCCAATAAAAAAGCTGGAGACGTGAAATGAAATGATGAGAAGACAAGAGTCAAGAAGGAACTGTACCTGTTCACATGTTTCTGCAGTGGAACTCCTTGAAACAGGGTATTTAGACACTTAAAGAGTTTACAAAGGCTCAAGAGGTCACAGGAAAAAGTTATGGAAAAAGTCCAGTAAAGGTTAATAAATACAAACCCACCATGTCTGTCTCAGGAAGCATCTGACAAGTGAATTGTTGAAGATCAGGAGAATACTCTGGGAAAGCCATCCCTACATGCTTGCCCTGCTCCTGCACTTTTCACCACAGCTTTGGTTTTGTCACTGTCAGAAACAGAACACCAGGCTACGATATGGACTCAAGTGCAATTATTCTTACTAAATAAAATGCAAACATAGAATTTGATCAGCATTTATCAGGTTGGTTAATAGCAGTATTTGTCATCTCGGGCCTCGCTTGGGTTGGTAAGACCTCGAATAATATAACTCCTTATTTGAAAGCAGGAATTCCTCTGTCAATTTACACAAGAGCTGACAAATTGCTAACTCAAATTCAGCCTATTTTACTATTGGCAGAATGAGTAGGATCACATTTCACCATGCTGCCAAACACTTGCCATTATAAGACACACTCCTCTACATAAGACAACTTACAACTCTGCCAAACTGCCATTGTTTGGGCTGAAATTTTCCAAGTTAGTGTCTGCTTCGGTGTTTTGTTTCTTTACTTTTTATTTATTCAAAACAGTATAGCCATTAAAAAAAAAAAGTTAATGCAAAAAAAGTTTTGTCTGCGTCAAAATATTTTGGCAGACTTTTCCTACTTTTCCTTTTTCCTAGAGTTTTGAACCCCTGTCCTTTGGGATGGACACTTGAAATTAGACAGGGATAGTGGTAGAGCTGTCATTCCTGTGAACTCTACCCAAATTTGGCCCATTTCTTGATTACTTATTTCACAAGCCCTTTAGTCATTCAGAAACCAGTCTTTTGAGTCAGATAACTGAACGTTGTCCTAGAGGACTTAGATTCTACTAGAGATCTCTGTGTCATTTTAATTGTATGCTACAGAAGAGGTCATTAACTTTCCAGGTCCTTGGCATGGGTCTATAAGGAGTGATTTGCAGAAATACTTAGTGCCTGCAGCTGCAGTGGAAGGCAGTGAAAGCTGCGTTCTAAACATTATGAAGACAATGGTTTTGAAAAACTCAGCATAGTCATCTCAAAACAGGTTCTCTCCAAAAATGTCACAGAAACTTGATTCTTGAAAAAAGAACCCTCAGAAGAACTACAAGAGCCACTTGCTTTATTCTCACTCTGCATTTTATCCTGTGCATGCACTGCAGGCTCCCCTCCTTTAGTACCAGTCTCATGATGCAGGTTGGGCAAGTAGTGTCTGTCCATCACAAGAGTCATAAACAATGTACAAGCAACTAGGCATTTCATGAGGGTATGGACTGTGACTGTAGGGCAGGATTTTTCAAAGCATGCAGAGCCTGAGGGAAAACATCAAACGTGCTAGAGAGCATACCAGAACTCTGTATAAATATGTTCCATTGTCAAGATCCATGTATAAGTTTCCAGCCAGCAAACTGGCTTGTGAACTTCCATCTGCGGGATACATACAGAGAACTAGCATCCCACTGGGTATTTGCCTTCAGTGATCCAGGGCCTGAAAAGTAGGATAGCATAGGAGAGCTCATGGCAGTGACTGAGAGGAACATAATTTGGCTTTATGTAAATGAGGGACAGTTAAATTTACTATTTGATTAAAAAAGACTAGTGTCAGCCACTGTTGTTAAATTAACATAGAAATTAAACAGGGTGCATATATGCAACCACAAGTACTTTAACTGCTTTTTCCCCATTCCTTTCCACATGTCTCAGTTCTCCTCCTTCGAGTAACACTAAGCTTGTCAGGGGAAGGACAGATGCCTGCTGTGTTTTCCTTTTCAGCCTCTAGCACATTGAATCCTAAAAATGGATGCTACTTTTTTAAAAAAAAAAAGACATGAACAAAGCAACACAACTCCCAAAGCCTCCTTTAGTTCTATTTATTCTTACCCGGTCATCAGTGCTTAGAAACAAACATTCTTCCTGTCCACTGCTCTCCTGTGAAAGACCACAGTATCTATAGTTACTGGAGAAGAGTGCTTCAGTTATCTAGGCTCCGATCCTTCCCATGGTTTACTTTTCAGCTTGCCCCAGAAGGCTTGCTTTCTCAGAGGATACCAGAACCAAGATTTCTCTCTTTCCAAAGGCAGCTAACTGAAATCCTCTCATCACTTGGGAAGCTCATCACTCCTTAAAAGAACCAAATACCGAGATCACATCTGAAACTGAAGAACCAAAGAATCACTTCTGATCTACTTGCAACTTCCAACTAACTTGTCAGGCCTCCCCAGGTGCAAGGAAAGTGGTGAGAATGGAACTCTAGTTCTAAAAAATGTTGTCAGAGAGAACAGGCTCAGCTCTTTTTTTAAAGAGCTACCAACTTCCCTCAAAACATTTTTTCTTCTTAGTTATAGGTCTTCCTGTCGAAGGAAAGCATATTGGGCAGGTGGCACACACCATCACAGTAACACTGCAAAACTCTCACCAGAAGCACAGAAATAGCATCAGAAACAGCACCTAAACATCCTTCAAAATATCCATGATTTTCTAACAGCTGTAAGAAGCAAACACCACAACAATTTGCCATCCTAAGAACAGAACAGCATGAGGGAGCAGGGGAAGGAGGACTATGAATCTTTCCTATTCCTTTCTTAAACTATACCTGCTTACATGAGTGAATCCCACACAAATATGAGGTATTTTTGGCTGATCTTGTGGGGCTGTTTCTCCTTAACCATTTGGAAATCAAATTTATTAACTAAAATACTGTATTTTTGGCTAGAAGTAGCTTAAGAGCTGTCCTCCTTAGAATCAATGAGAAGATACTCCCCTCTTCAGTTCAGTGGAGCAGCACAAATTTGTGGCTATGAAATATTGGGCGTAATTCTGAAAGGAACAAACAAACAAGCCAAAGTCCAAGTTCACACAAATACTCTCTCAGGACAGCTGTTTATTTTATATAATTCTTCCAGCCATGCAAAAGGTGCTCTAAACAAACAGAGCATGTCGCAGAAGATAGGGAAGCAACTCAACACAACCTGCACTACAGCAGAGTTGTTCTCTGCGGGCCAAGAAGTCCGAGCCCAGGAAGCTGCTGCAGCACACAACACAAGGCAGCAAGACCCAGAACCTGAAACTCTGTTGACAGATGGACATTTCTGATGGTTCATATCAAGGAACGTGTTAAGAACAGCACACAGAAAACCACTGAAACGTTCAAGTAGTCAGAGGATCGATGTATTTTGCAGGTATATCCTTGGCCACATCTGCTAGTGCTTTATCTATAAACTGCTTGCCATTACACAAATCTCTCTCTGTTTCCTAGTGCTCTTATGTCACAGAAAACCATCAGACTCAGCAAATAAGAACACAAACATTTTTCTTTTGCAACTGATGAGTAATATGTGACTCAAAAATTATGACAGCAGAGCAGAAAAGCATCTAGTATTGGAAAATGGCACATTAAAAAAAAAAAAGTAGTAATGAAACATTCAGGAGAGAATGAATCAAAACCAAAACCCATACTGAACATTTCCTATAAATCAAAGATTTCAAAATACTAAACAATAAGAGACTTGATTATGAAGAAATCTAAACACATGCACAAATAAACCAGCCATATCAAAAGGTGTTTTGAAGTATTAAAACGATGCTCGACCTTGAGAAGGTAGTTTTCCAATGCACTGACAATTCTGGACCTTATTTTATGTTCTCCATTTTTTATTAGAGATATAAAGGGAAACTGTTGTTGAGGAAAACTGCACAAACTTGGAATAATAATGAAAGAGTAACAAGATGGGAAACAAGTCATTGCTGGACAGGAAAAGAGAGAAAGCAGAAATCCAGAAAACCCAAAGCAGAATGACAAACAGTTTCATCTTTCTGAGGGCAGTGGGACACAGTGATGATGGTTAGGAACACACACTCTTCTCGTCCTGTTTTATTGTAAGGAACGGGCTTGACCTCCTGTCTGTCTTGGCTTTTTAAATATAAAAGCTCCTCCAGTAAATACATTCTCATCTTTAAAACATAATTATGGTCTGAAAGTTGACACTAAAAATAGCACTAAGAAGCTTCATATTAATGTCTTCTTGATTTCTGTATCAATTTACTTGATTGCAACATTCAAGCGTATGCCCTCTGGTCCTCAAGCCTCAAAGGAGTTCTTATGAGGGTTAGTCCTAAAGAGGTGTTTGACAGAGTGACACTTTTGAATTTAAATCCATAAATAAAGGTTGAAATATCAATGTGTAACTGTAAATACACATATATAAAGGACAAAGTATTCACAAACTTTTAGAAATTTACTTAAGAAAAGCAAGTATCTGAGTAAAAAAAAAGATTAGGGAAGCATAAGAAAAAAATAAAAAGAATACATATTCCACTAATCCATACTGGCATGCCAGGAAAACTTAAAGACAATTTGGAACAAACTTCACAAATTCTTACAATTAGGAAATACATGAGGAATAACATCATGAATAAGACTTCAAATTAGCAAGTGACCAAGAAGTATACGCTTTGCCAATTTCAGTTCAAATCAAAATACTTCATGATACAAGCATATTTTTAGTACTTTTAGAAATACATGAGTTCTTTGGAATAAGATTCTTCACTCACTAACATTCTCATTTTTTTCCTGCAGTGTCAGAAACAGCCATTTCAGATGATTTTTGCAAATTTGCAAACTGAAAGAGACAATTACCATGTAATCTCATATGAAATTAAAGTATTTGAAAAAAAGCGCACAAAAATCTTTTTAATATGAATCTTGGAAAAGTTTTTTTCTTCACTTTAATGACTGTCGGAAATAACTACTGCACTAACCTGATGACACACTTATTTACTATATTCTCTTATGCCCGTTATTCAGTTGTTGGCAGT